GCGCATCTATAACATATTGGTGTCTCGGTCAGTCTGACTTCTGGATACCACTCACAATCTAACGGTCAGTGTGAACGTGTAAATCAGGACCTGGGAAAATTCCTTAGAATATTTTGTCATGATAATCCTGATGATTGGGCACATTATTTAGTGTGGGCTGAAATAGCACAGAATTATTTGATAAGTTCCACTACAGGTACACTATTTTGCCAAAAGTATTCGCTCGTCTGCCTTCACACACATATGAACTTGAGTGACATCCCATTCTTAATCCATAGGGTTTAATATGATGTCGGCCCACCCTTTGCAGCTGTAACAGCTTCAACTCTTCTGGGAAGGCTTTCCACAAGGTTTAGGAGTGTGTTTATAGGAATGTTTGACCATTCGTCCAGAAGCGCATTTGTGAGGTCAGACACTGATGTTGGACGAGAAGGCCTGGCTCGCAGTCTCTGCTCTAATTCATCCCAAACGTGTTCTATCGGGTTGAGGTCAGGACTCTGTGCAGGCCAGTCAAGTTCTTCCACACCAAACTTGCTCATCCATGTCTTTATGGACCTTGCTTTGTGCACTGGTGTGCAGTCATGTTGGAACAGGAAGGGGCCATCCCCAAACTGTTCCCACAAAGTAGGGAGCATGAAATTGTCCAAAATCTCTTGGTATGCTGAAGCATCAAGAGTTCCTCTCACTGAAACTAAGGGGCCGAGCCCATTTCCTGAAAAACAACCCCACACCATAATCCCCCCTCCACCAAACTTTACACTTGGCATAATGCAGTCAGACAAGTACCGTTCTCCTGGCAACCGCCAAACCCAGACTCGTCCTTTGGATTGCTGGACAGAGAAGCGTGATTCGTCACTCCAGAGAACACGTCTCCACTGCTCTAGAGTCCAGTGGCGGCGCTTTACACCACTGCATTCGGTGCTTTGCATTGTGCTTGGTGATGTAAGGCTTGGATGCAGCTGCTCGGCCACGGAAACCCATTCCATGAAGCTCTCGTTGTTCCCAATCGCTTCCACTTTGTTATAATACCACTGCCAGTTGACTGTGTAATATTTAGTAGCGAGGAAATTTCACGACTGGACTTGTTGCACACGGTACCATGCTGGAATTCACTGAGCTCCTGAGAGCGACCCATTCTTTCACTAATGTTTGTAGAAGCAGTCTGCATGCCTAGGTGCTTGGTTTTATACACCTGTGGCCATGGAAGTGATTGGAACACCCGAATTCAATGATTTGGATGGGTGAGTGAATACTTTTGGCAATATAGTGTATCACTCCATTCCAATATGTTTTTGGGTTTCAACCTGCTGTGGCCCCATGGATGAGACTTGTGTTTAACATCCCTGCAGTCAATGATTGGATGCAACATAGTGAAGTGGTCTGGGAAGGAACACATCAAAGAATTGAGACTATACTTCAACGCCTCAAACACCAAGCTGACCGCCACCGGGGTGACACTGCCTCGTACCAGCCAGGAGACCGTGTTTGTTGACTCAGGACTTCAGGTTTGCAGAGGGAAGTAAAAAGCTACACCCCAAGTATATTGGTCCATTCAAGATATTAGAGAAAATTAACGACGTAACATACAAGCTTGATTTACCTCCTCGTTCCTAATCTCTGCTTAAACCTGTTATCCCAGGTCCTTTGGACGAGGCTTCACCTGCTGACGCGCCGCCCCCTCCAGAGGAGGTCAACAGGACCCCAGTTTAAGCTGTTTGCCAGCTGCTGGATTCTAGGAAGAGAGGGGGTCAGTTGCAGTATTGAGTCAACTGGGTGCCTACTGATGATGTTTTGGACCCGGGACTAATTGCTGACTTCCATAGTCGGCATCCAGATAAACCCACTCCTTGTCATAGGGGCCGGCCTAGAAGGGCTCCCCCTAATTCGCAGTCCAGTCGTCACCGAGGCACCTCTCGGAGTCAGTGTGGTAAGAGCTCTGGGTTTGCTCCCTGTCATGCCTCTGGTCGTGTGAATGGCTGTTGTTGCGGTCGACCTGATCCTGCAGACGTCCCGGACTCCTTGGCGGGGGTTTACCCTCTGGGGATCGCATAACCAATGACGCATCTCAGCACTCCAATCATCGATCTCATTCTCCTGAATGCTAATCTTGTACACCTGTTCCTTCCAGTCATGTATCTAGTTTGATTTAGTATAAAGCCAAAGCTTTTAGACTAGTTACTTTGTGAGGTGTTGCTGCTTCGAGTAAGAGCTACTGAGTGTTTTTTCTGATTGCCTTCTTATTACTGGTTTTGTCTGCCTGGAATATTTGACTTTGTATGTTTGTCTCTGCCCCTTTGGATTTGGTTACCTGGTTGTTATGGTTTTTCTTTTCTGTCTTTGGATCTTTCTGGATTTGACCTCTGCGTGTTTCATGACCACAAGTTTCGCCCAAGCCCTTGATAATGAAGCCTCTCTCTTTATTTTGTACTGCAAGTGTCTGATTTGTCTGGTTGCATTACAATAATGAGAAGTCAAGGGAAAATGAAAGCTTTAATATATAATGTTTTTGTTGTTTTTTTCAGACCAGGTTTTGGATAACAATTTAATTCAATATGCACACACAGATCTTTCTTTGAAATGGGTGCATGTTCATGTTGAGAAAGATATGTAATTAAGCTTTACTAACAGACCATGCTCCTGTAATCAGTGTCAGAAGAATTAGTCTATGACTGTAATTAGTTTCAGATTCTGAAAATTGTAGTCTAAGTGTGTCAAACAAAGTCCTTAGTCCAGCAAAGATTTGCGATTTTTCCTGTTCATCAGTTAATTATCAGGCTTAGTAGGTGTGTTAGAGCAGGAAATCCCCAAACTTTGCCAAACTGCAGCCCTCCTGAATCAGACTTCAACACCTCTGTTACAGACATACAAAAAGTCACTCAAAAGTAATTACTTGAGTATTTTTATAATACGTTTACACTGAAGTTACAAGTAGTGTTTTAGCCCAAACTACTTTTTCAGTACAGGGTAGCAAGTAAGCTTTGGGCATTAGAATTTGATAAACTTTCATTTCTATTCTCCCATCTAACTAGTGCCAAAATAGCCAATGGAAGCAGCATGATCATGCAGAATGTAGGGTTAGTGTGAATTCAGCACAGTCACCAATCAGGCTGCATGCCAAATTGCACGCCCAGTTGGAGGCATGAGAGCAAAAGTGAAAATGCAGCTGAGCCATCTGCTCTCAATAACATTGTTCCAAAAAAGGCCAGATCGCTTACATTATATGAAAGTGGTCCAGATATTTTAAGTCTGACCAAGCGCAGTTAAGCCCAAAATCCAAAATATTCCACCATCAAGGGCTGACAAAGTCAGGAAATGCTACACCAATTACTCACAGACTGCACTACCATTATAAATGTTGAGCAGAACTGGAAGTTTGGACACACTAATATGTGGTCAAGTTGGACATTGAAACATGATGCCTTACTGTGTATGACACTGATGAGGAGTGGAATTTGCAAAACAGATGTTTGCAAACCATGTTCATCCCTAAGGACCACACTGCAGAATTCATCTCCCAGGTGAGGATGCAACCAAATCTTGGGGACTTAAAGAGAACCAAAAGGTCTATTTTGGACATTGAGTACAATAATGATATTATATTCATGAGTCAAAGTTTGTTAATGACTAAATAAATACATTCACAACTAAAAATAGAAATATATTGTTTTTTTTCCTGTAGAAAGAGGTGGGAGAGACAGGACATTTCAAAGAGCCATAGGATGTGTGTATGAAGGTGGTCAGATATAATATATAATTATATGGGATAATACTGGAGCAAGAGAAGGCTGTTGTAAAAGTTCTGTCTACCGATTAAAAAAAAAACTAAAACATGGCACCTTGTTCCTACCTGGCAAAAAGTGGACATCCTACAGTCTGTCCACAAGGCTGTGAATCCATTAGAGCGCTTCACAGATGCTTTCTCTGGAGACACATATGATAGTGTGTCCTATGTTAAGCCTGAAGACTGTCATTCAGTCACAGCAGCTGGCCTCACAGAACAGGAACTTGTTGAAGCTGAATTGAATAAATTACCTGTTAGCTCCTGATGCTGACAGTGAGACCAGTTCTTTGGAATGGTGGAAGATTCAGTCCACAACATTTCCAAAAGTGAGCCCCTTCGCTAAGTATTATCTCTGAATACCTGCTACATATTCCATCAAAACATGTTTTTAGCACATTGTGACATGCATAAGCTTACCATCACTTATCCATGACAAAGCCAGAGGCAGTGGACAGATTAGTCTTCCTGGCAAAAAAAAACAAAACAAAACAAAAAACTGCAGCACAACTGCTGAGTGTAAAGTAAGAAGATTTACAATATATAGATCTTTGTTTTTTTTTAACCTACCTCAGTGTCACACCTAATAGAGAATAAAGAAAGATATTTATTGCAACATGCATTCTAGTTTTCCAATGATACACACATTCTAATGGGTTAGGTGCAATATGTTAACAATTCAGAACTTCGTACTAAGAGTCTTGGTACTTTTATACTTCTTAAATGTTTGGGATCTTTATGTCTTAAGAGCGTTTTCATGACACAGGAAACAGATTGCTTTTTTTATGGTAAGCAGGCAGGGTAATCAAAATTTAAATGTATATAGGTCCAGTCAAAACTGTCCTCATGGATTTGCTGCAAATATGTTCCAGTTTAGTATACAGCCTTGCCTATAGAGATTTGTGTTTAAATGGAGGTGTGCTTTTGAGCATGACGTAAATGTAGGTAAGTTATAAATGTGTTTGATCTCTCTTGAAATTTGGCTTCAGAAGGTTTTGTCCTACTGCAGAAGGTATTGTATCAAACCACTGTAGATCAGTTTTTAACATCCTGTTCTCATTTCATTTGAGTTTCATATCAGTTGCTATTGATTTATTTTGTATGATACAATTTTCTCTTAATCATTTTTAAATTCATTTATGGTGTGAGGATTTGTAGTGTGATGAACTGTTTGAAGGCCCTATAACTATCCTTCCTTTTCTTTGAAAACCAGTCTCCTGACATGACAACCGCGGTGCCCCTCGAGAATGCTACATTCATTCGCCCCCATGCATTTTACATCAGTGGATTGCAAAACATGCCACATTCAAAGTATTACTATATGTTTTTGTGTTTTGTATACGTTGTGACTATTTTAGGGAATTCTTTTATAATGGGCACTATATACCTGGCACGTACTCTGCACACAGCTAAGTACATAGCTGTCTTTAACTTGGCCTTGTCTGATATGTGTGGAAGCTCTGCTCTTATTCCCAAGTATGTAGACTTGTTTCTGCCTGAGAACCAGTACATATCTTTTGAAGACTGTCTGGCAAGCATGTTTTTTGTTTTTCTCTTCATGAGCCTGCAGTCCTTTACTCTGCTTGCTTTATGCTTTGACAGAGTAATTGCTATATGTTTTCCTCTGAGGTATCATGCTATTGTCACCAAAACCACAATGACTCTGATCATTGGTGTTATGTGGCTTTTCGCTGTATTTATTATTACCATTCTTGTATCTCTGGTTACCAGATTGTCCTTCTGTGCATCTACAACAGTTGGCAGTTATTTCTGTGATCATGGCCCTGTCATCAAACTATCCTGTAATGATAATACTCCTAATTACATGATGGCCGATACCTATATTATTTTAGTTCTTTGCATTCCATTAGCGCTCATAGCTTTCTCATATGTTTGTATTGGTGTTGCATTGCTTAAGATCTCACATGGTGCTGAACGAATGAAAGCTATGAAAACTTGCACTTCCCATCTAATTTTAGTAGGCATGTTTTATGTACCAATCTTTAGCATTTATATGTTGACTCTTACAACAACTGTACATACAAATACTAGAATATTCAACTCAGTCTTAGCACAAGCAATACCACCCATGTTAAACCCCATCATATATACTCTGAAGACAGAGGAGGTATTGCAGTCTATTAAAGTACTCTACAAACGAATCAAGGTGAACTTTGCAATAGAAGATCCTGTGAAAAGCATAGCAAAGAATTAAAATTATATAGTTTTGGTATTTGGACTTACTGACATAATGCAGATAGCTGTCCACTGTTTTTCTGATTTTACCAAACAACATTTTTAATTGTTATTAAAGTAGATTGTAAGTTGATGTACTGAGAGTTAATGGTTTTGTGTTTTGTGTTAGGTTAGAAAATTTTGTTCCATTAACATTTAAGTAAGTGCCTATGTATATATATATATATATATATATATATATATATATATATATATATATATATATATAAAACATAGTATATTATGTTCTGATAATAAATATTTTGTTTTAAATAATAATGAACATTTGCTGTATTCACTCTGCAAGTTTTTTTCAAAGGATATTATTTAAAAAACTGTGACAGTGTTACATCATGATAATGAACAAGATTGATCAAAACAGAAATATTTATAAAATTTATATTGATAACAAATCTGACCATGTCACCCAGGTCTCATTTTGCATATATCAGTTCTAAAGGCATGATAACAAAAGTAGCCTGTTTAATTTTACATTATTAAGAAAGGTTGGAAAATAAAAATGAATTTTGACTGTTTTCAAGAAATAAAATTGCACAAATGCAATCAGTGTATCTCAAGGCAAAAGATAAAGTACAAGAAGAATGTAGGATATGGGTCCTTAGTGGAGCTACTAGCTATATTCAAAAATGGTCAGCTTACTCTAATATAGACAGACTTATGTCCAGTTATCTTACAGAGAGTTGTTAACAAAAAGAGATCTGAATCGGTTACCAACACACATAATCAGTTTTAGTAATATGTGATGTTACATTACTGCTTTACACTGTCCTGTCCATCACAGATGACTGTATGTGAAAAATCAGCTGTGATAGTGAAAGTATGAGTGGGAGTGTTTATTTGACTAGAACAGGACGTTTGATCAATTTTTTTCACATTTGTGACATTGATGACTTTTTTAAATGAAATGAAATTAAGTGACCCTCATTAGTCCCACAATGGGGAAATTTCACCTCTGCATTTTAACCCACTTAAACTAAAGGCCTAGCTCTAATAGTCACAGTCTGCCCCTGTACTTAAAGAAACATGAGGGGCAAGACAAGCCCTATCGAACATAATTTCTTACAGGAAATACATGTGTCCCCTTCAACTCTTTTAACCCTTGTGTGGTGTTCATGTTTTTGCTACTCAGTGGGTCTGCTGGACCCACTGCATTATTGTTTTTTTTTTTAATCAAAACAGCCATAACAATTTATGTAAAAGCACCAGATGTATAAAATATCCCAAGTGGCCAGCAAAGGTTCTTCTTTTGCAGCTGTAGCCAGTCAGCAGCCTGGCCATGTTGTCCACCCTCACACACATGAATACATATACAAACACATGCACACACACACACACACACACACACTAACAGCAAGCCATGTAGGAGAAGAACAGAGTGAAGGGACACAGCACCTCCACACTTTTATTCCCCGCGGGTTCACCCCAACATCACGTGTAATATAAATGTGTAAGGGGTGTACAGCGTGAAGTCAGTGAAAATGTGTTATTTTATATGTTCTTCACAGAAAATTAGCAAAGGTCAAGGAATCTGGGGTAGAAATAATAATAAATCACATCATTTTTTTCTTTTGGTAAACAGTGAAAATGGGTCCCACAGACCCAAACACCACACAAGGGTTAAATCTCCTGCCACAGTAGCTATGATGCATCCAAGCCCTCGTTGGCCATGGTAAAGTGGATATGCATGGGGAATTGCAGCTATCTGTGTTTTCTACCACAATGTAGAACAGAACTCAGATTGGTTAGCACTTATTATTGATTGGTGTCATCAGAGTAGCTATCAAGGCTTGAATTATATTTCTATTCATGTGTTTTCTCAATCAAAAAGATCATTTGTGACAACAAGTATGATGATTCCATGAGATAAAAAATACCACACTTGTATTTTTTAGTCCTTTAGACATCATTGGGCATTCTCTGAAAGACTATAAGGTCCTAAAGTTTCATTACTATATCTGTCACTAAAAGTGTGATTGATAATAACATATAATCTATAGAATTGTTATACCCACAATGGAAAAATTCGATTTTTGTCGACATTCCTGGGTTCAGATTGAAACTGTATGTGTCATAACCTTTAATCTAAACCATAGTAAAATGAATGATGTGACATTTGACCTTTAGGTCATGAAGAACATTTTGTCTAACATAACAACTAACAAAACTGTACTCTCTCCATTGATTTTTTTTTCTCTGGAAGGATTATGTGAAATGCACAAAAAAAGTATTGTGCTGCCTTTAAATATTGCATAAACATGGGCGTATGGCAAGGAGCATTTTATGCAAACAGTCAGTTCAGACATGACTGGGTGCCTTTCTTCTGCCGAACACTACTGAAGTAGGAAGCATGAGTTACATTGCAGATACAACCATGACAATCCTGCTTTCTGTCCTGATTTATCATTTATTATACAAATTTTTTTCTATGAGAGAATTCACATTTGCATTTTTATTCACTGCAAACATGTTTCCAGTTTACTATACTGTACAACTTGCCTATAGAGATTTGCGTTTTGGAGGTGTGCTTTTGAGCATGATGTAAATGTAGGTCAGTTATAAATGTGTTTCATCTCTCTTGAAATTCTGCTCCAAAAGCTTTTGTCCTACTGCAGAAGGTATTGTATCAAACCACTGTAGATCAGTTTTTAACATCCTGTACTCTTGTTTCAGATGAGTTTCATATCAGTTGCTATTGATTTATTTTAGATGGTACAATTCTCTTAATCATTTCATTACCATTTATGTTTCGAGGATTTGTAGTGTGATGAACTGTTTGAAGGCCCTATAACTATCCTTTCTTACATTTGATTAAAACCAGTCTCCTGACATGACAACCATGGTGCCCCTCGAGAATGCTACATTCATTCGCCCCTCCACATTTTACATCAGTGGATTGTACGACATGCCGCATGCAAAATATTACTATATGTTTTTGTGTTTTGTGTATGTTGTGACTATTTTAGGGAATTCTTTTATAATGGGTACTATATACCTGGCACGCACTTTGCACACAGCAAAGTATGTAGCTGTCTTCAACTTGGCCTTGTCTGATATGTGTGGAAACTCTGCTCTTATTCCCAAGTATGCAGACATGTTTCTGCCTGAGAACCAGTACATATCTTTTGAAGACTGTCTGGCAAGCATGTTTTTTGTTTTTCTCTTTATGAGCCTGCAGTCCTTTACTCTGCTTGCTTTATGCTTTGACAGAGTAATTGCTATATGTTTTCCTCTGAGGTATCATGCTATTGTCACCAAAACCACAATGACTCTGATCATTGGTGTTATGTGGCTTTTCGCTGTATTTATTATTACCATTCTTGTATCTCTGGTTACCAGATTGTCTTTCTGTGCATCTACAACAGTTGGCAGTTATTTCTGTGATCATGGCCCTGTCATTAAACTATCATGTAATGATAATTCTCCTAACTACATGATGGCCAATACATATATTTGTTTAGTTCTTTGCATTCCATTAGCACTCATAGCTTTCTCATATGTTTGTATTGGTGTTGCATTGCTTAAGATCTCACATGGTGCTGAACGAATGAAAGCTATGAAAACCTGCACTTCCCATCTAATTTTAGTAGGCATGTTTTATGTACCAATCTTTAGCATTTATATGTTGACTCTTACAACAACTGTACATACAAATACTAGAATATTCAGCTCAGTCTTAGCACAAGCAATACCACCTATGTTAAACCCCATCATATATACTCTGAAGACAGAGGAGGTACTGCAGTCTATTAAAGTACTCTACAAACGAATCAAGGTGAACTTTGCAATTGAAGATCCTGTGAAAAGCATTACAAAGAATTAAAATGATATAATATTGGTATTTGGGCTTACTGACATAATGCAGATAGTTGTCCATTGTTTTTTGACCTTTTTTTACCAAACAACTCAAGTTCCTCTTTTACGGCTGCCATTAAAATTTCTTAATTAATTTTTAGTATAGTAGGCCCAAGATTGTAGTTTGATGTTGATGATTTTATGTAAAGTTAGAAAATGTAATTCTATTAGCATTTAAGTAAGTGCCTGTATATATATATATATATATATGTGTGTGTGTGTGTGTGTGTGTGTATAAGGTTTCCTTTTGACTGTTGACTTCTTTGTTAATAATTAGTTTCAAAATTCACTGCCCAGTCCATACAGCCCATGTATCCTTGCTGTATAAAAATCAATAAACAAACAAACAAACAAACAAATTAATTAATTAATAAATATCTCATTTTTTTTGCTAAATTGATTACATAATTTGAGCTCAGTAGCTGCCCTTTATATTGTGTGAAAATTTTATGAAGAATGGACCAACAAAAAGGCTTCAGAAGTGCTTGGAATAAAATCACGTTGCACTAACTTACAAAGAAAGTTAAGGTTTTTGCCCTCTTTATTCTGGAGATACTTGTTTCATTTTGGACAGCGACATTATGCAAACTGCTGCAAAAAACAGCCCCTTTAGATTTTGTTGTTTTTGTGATGTCATGAAAACCAGTGCGTTTACATATGTCCGTCTAATCAGCCTACTGCAGGTAAGCCTCACCAGTTCCCACTGAAGTTATAAGGAATGTTTTAGCTCAGACTATTCTGAATAAAGTACAATATGGGGCAGCCAATCTGAACAGAGATAATTTACATATGTCTGTCTCAGTTGCATATAAATAAAAATGTTGTGTTTAATTGTAAGTAAGAGAGGTTGATAAATGGTCATGTAAAAATGAATTATAGTATTTGGACTCTTTAAATCTTTAGATTAGTGTAGCATATTAGTCTATAGTAAAATGGATCAGCATGTAGAATTGCAGTTCTCTGTTTTTTGTTTACAACTGTATAATATACTACATGTTACACTGTTACGCTGCCTGGATGCACAGGCACATGCAGTATAGAATTCAGATTGATAAGTGCTGTAGATTGGTGTCACCTGAGTAACAATAATTGCCAATAAATTGCCAA